GATACTTTAATTTTTGCGTACCGCTGCACATGTTGCTGGGATTTTGCGAGGATTACAAACGCGTTGTTATTAATGCGCGTCATGAGTTGATCCTAATACGATCGCGCAACGACAATAATTGTCTGTATGGAAATTCTGCACTGGAGCCTGCGATCAACATATTCAAGATACAATGGCGAATGCCACACGTGTTGTTGAGCGAGATTAAGAAGCTGTCGATGCTGCGCGCTCTGGAAAGCGGACGTTACCTCAGCATGGGTTTCCGCTCGTGGGATCTATACGAATTTCCGCTATTGCAGCGTACGACCAAGCATTCGTGGGCCATTAAGACCGCGACTCAACTGGAGAAGCCGCGATATGTAATTTTTGCTCTGCAGACAGGGCGTAAAAATGTCATGTCCGAGGATACGAGTCGATTCGACGACTGTAAATTAACCAACGTGAAACTCTATCTGAACTCGGAATGTTATCCGTACGACGATATGAATCTGGATTTCGATAGAAACAGATGGTCGATTCTGTATGACACGTATGCGCGTTTCTGCAAAAATTATTACGGATACGAGTATCTCGAGCCGAGCCTCACCATCACGCGGTTTTTACAAAACGGTCCGTTTGTGATTATCGATTGTTCTCGACAAAACGAATCGGTCAAGAGCGCAACGGTGGATGTGAGATTGGAATTTGAGTGTAAGGAGAATATACCTAATAATACCACTGCGTACTGCCTCATCATGCACGATCGTGTGATCCAATACAACCCGTTGACCAACGTTGTGCGCAAAATCACCTAAAAATGTTTACACAAATACGCGTGTGAAAGAGGGGGAGGAGGATACATAATCAAGATGATGTGAGATGTCTGATGTTAGTGAAGTAATACCTCTCAACTGACTCACATCGAAGAGATCATGTCCGCACCAACGTTTGTCGACCTGCAAGGATTTATACTAAACAAACGATTTATCGTAAAGGAAGCGGCAATCCTGAGAAGAGGATATATCCTGTCGCACTATTTCTTCGCATGCCCTGTGCCATGGAGCGTGCTTATAAAGTCGGAAAGGCGTCAGGCCTCGTGGCTAACTCAACATCATCACAGCTTACAATGGGAGGATGGAAATGTTCCATACGGCATGGCTCAGCGCTTGATTACGGCAGCTATCGTTGGCATAAATGAGCAAGAAGACGATGAAGAGTCCTCTCTCGTGTATGTAAAAGGACTCGAAAAGCGAGAATGGCTGGCCGAAATAATGGACGATGCGAGCAGCGGTTTCACCATTGAGACCTTGGATGCCATATATGAAGATGTACCTGCATTAAATAAGTTAGATCCCACATATACTCTACGGTGTAATAAACATGTAAAAAATTGCACGTTACAAAATGTATTTAAATTATTTAATTGGTGGTCGGCCGCAAAATCCAGGCTTGGATCCGACGATCATCCGTTTTTTGAATAAACATATTATTTACATACTATTCTCTTTGTATTTTTCCTAACCAGATATTTCTAAGAAATTTTTTCTCCTAATATTTTAAATATTTCTCACGCAATCGTATTTCTAAGAATTTCTTTTACCCCCACTACTTTTAAAAATTTCTCACGCAATCGTATTTCTAAGAATTTCTTTTACCCCCATTACTTTTAATAATTTGTCTTTCCCTCCAGAATATATTTCTAAGAATCCCCCTCTCCTAATATTTTAAATATTTCTCTTTGTTCTTTCCCTCCAGATATATTTCTAAGAATCCCCTTCTCCTAATATTTTAAAAATGAGTGTTACTCGATTATTAGTACTTTTGTACGATCAGTCTCTCGTCGACTGTTCTAACTGGTGGTTCACTTTTTAATACCCTCGAGAAAAATATTCTGCACCAAAAAAGCAGCAGCATGAATTACTACATGCCGAGACGCGATGAAACGTGCGAGAAGAAATGCGACGAGTAAGTATAACTTTTTCTATTTTATATATTTTATATTTTTTCTATTTTTATATTTTTTTATGAGTTATAATTTCTTTTTTTCCTAATTTAGTTTTAATTTTTTTTCCTAATTTTTTTACAGCGTTTCGCTGGAGTCTCGTGCTGTTCGTATACTTGGAAGACGATACGCATTGACGACCACGGAATTCAAATTCCTCGAAATCGGCATCAGAGTGGATCCGCCGAGTTACGTGGAGATCGCCATAGGAGATCATCGGGGAAAACAGCTATTACTATCTCTCGAAACGTGGAAAGGACTCTACGAGCAACGCCACGCTATTCACAATTACCTGAACAATGACTCTCTCAACAACGATGTGTATAATTGTATAAGTGTCGGGCCGCTAACAGTGCGATTTCACAAGATAAACGGCACCAAGCTCATAAGTCTCGAATCAGCGGACGTGCGCATGATGATGGTCGAATCGACGTTACATCGTATGTTCGAGCTCGATTCATGTATCGAAATAATGTACGATCGATTGACGAGGCTCATCGCAACGGTCGATATCAAACATACGCAATTCTCCAATATTGCATCCACTGTAACGAATGCGAGAGAATTGCCGAATGCGATACGCGCTAGCAACGCCTTCGACATGCACCAACTTGTCGATTGCGAGCTGGTGGCTTTAGTTTTTAATATGTAATAAAACTTTATATATAATTATGTATTAAATATAAGACGAATAAATACTTATATGTATATCATGGTGTACTTTATTTGCGCGCCACCCGTTACATACTTTGCGAGAGAGCAATCACTAGAAAAGAAAGAGACAGCGCGCGAGAGAGAGATCGGATGTGGCGGCGAGAGAGAGAGATTCGACGGCTCGCGGCGAGAGAGATTCGGCTCGGGCCTGTGGCGAGAGAGAGACGGCGAATTAAGACGCGAGAGAGAAAGAAGACGGGCTGCAGCGAGAGACGTACGCGAGAGAGAGAAAAAGAGAGAGCTTTTAAAATAATTTTTAATAATTTCTTTATATTTTCCTAATATTTAAAAGGGAACAAGAGGTAAGGACATTTTAATCTAAAATAAATACACTCATTTGATAATAATATTTTTTTTAATCTATAAAATATGTGTAAATTTACATTGTGTGTGTGTGTGTGTGTGTGTGTGTGTGTGTACTTGTGCATGTGTTACAGAAGAGATAAGGACCCCACGGTTCGTCACTTCCGCGGTATTTATTGACTCCAAACCCTCTCTACTGTGTGTGTGTAAATATAAAAATATAAAAATAAGGATATAAATGAAAAATAAAAAATAAAATAATTTACATTATGGACGATTGGGGTGACGACGGTGATTGCGACGGTGATTGCGACGGTGATTGCGGCGGTGACGGCGGCGGTGACGGCGGCGGTGACGGCGGTGTAGGCTGAGGCCTAACATCGTACAGGTCTGGTAGAGTGAAAAGCTGCACCAGACCCCAATCGAGCAGGTCGGCCTCGTCGTCGCCTCTTAAAAATGCGTCCCAATCGAACATCTCTGGAACCATTATTGGAACGTATGGTTCATCTGTAAACATAACAATTATTAATTTAAAAATATAACAATTATTAATTTAAATATATAATACAATATTATAAATCACACTTTTTCACACTTTTAACCTCAGCCTATTTTCGCTGACATTCGCTGCAATCCCTGATCATCGGTGCTGGACCGTCAATATGCGTTCGCATCCACGGCCGATTGTAATGTTCGAGGCAGCGACGATATGTCTGAACCTCCGGATCCGTCTTGATATGCTCCGGAAGCTTGTCCCACAAATGCTCTACGAAATATCCGCACTTTTGCAGTAAAACAATCTTCGGAATATATTGTAACTGTTCGGCACTTAAACTGAGAATGTCGGAAGCACTTGATAGTATTACAAACATCTTGAATGAAGAGAGCGTGCGCTCGCCAGTGGTACTATGGCCCGGCAGCGGCATCGGTCCTCATTATATATCCCCGATCAACCCTTTGTTCGTCAACGTACGAACGAGAAAAATTTAGATGACGTAAATTTTCGGCGCTTGTTTTGTTTATAAATTCCTGCAGCCGCTGGTTATCGGCGCTGGTATTTCTTCCTAAGATAAACAATAAAGAACCGCCGCTTATTGGGGAGGTACCGCGAGGGTGATATACAATCCCATGCAAAAACATGTCGCAGGCCGCAAGCGATGAGGTTGCAGGCAGCAACTTGTTCGCCCTGAAACTTTACCCGCTGATATTTCTTAGAAATATACGTATAGATCATGTATCAACCCCCTTGATTGTCGGCGTATGCCAAGCGGTGACCCTTCTTAAAATTTGATTATCTTAGATTTTCAGAGAACTGATTGTCGGCGCATGCCAAGCGGTGGCCCTTCTTAAAATTTGATTATATTTCTTAGAAATATACAGATAACGTATGAGGAGAAGAAACGCAACCCCCCCCTTCCCCTGATTGTCGGCAGCCCTTTGTAATAGATATTGATGGAATGTTTATCTTTTGTTTATAAACATAAACGTATGAGGAGAAGAAACGCAACCCCCCCCCCCTGATTGTCGGCAGCCCTTTGTAATAGATATTGATGGAATGTTTATCTTTTGTTTATAAACATAAACGTATGAGGAGAAGAAACGCAAACCCCCCCCCCCTGATTGTCGGCAACCCTTTGTAATAGATATTGTTTATCTTTTGTTTATAAACATAAACGTATGAGGAGAAGAAACGCAACCCCCCCCCCGATTGTCGGCAACCCTTTGTAATAGATATTGTTTATCTTTTGTTTATAAACATAGATAAGCTTATCTGCTGATAAGACCCCCCGCCCGCGTGACGTCATACCCCCTCGCCCCCAAAAACCCCCCGCCCCGCACCCCCCTCATTGCCCCTGAGTTAGAACCCCCCTAGTATAACTACTATTATCTAGAAAATTATTTAGATAAATCACCATATAATTTTATCTAGATATATTTTTAAAAAATTATCTTCATCTTCTCTAAATGAATTTACATATTTTTATCTCATCTTTACATATCTTTATCTCATCATCTAGCTAATTTTAAAATCATCTAAGCACAACACTGTTTACAAGACATCGAACGTTTCTTTCTCGTCATATTTTATTAGATTTCCAAACAGAGATCCTTTATATTTTATTTTGAGCGAGAAAAAGTTCTGACAGATTTTCAATATTTAAAGTCGTTTTTGGGTACTCGAGTATTCATTCATTGACAGAAGGATTTATAAGCGCGAACTCCGTTACTTATGCAACCCGCGCGACAGCTCTTTAGTTCAAAAAGAACTGCTTAACAGTGACAGATGTGTTCATAGCACGATGAAAATGATTGTTAAACAAAAAGTGACACAGAGAGAGAAATTCATCAAAAATAAAAATCTCGAATTTATTTAATTTCTTGGTCTCGTGCCGAGAAAAATTGCAACTCCGTGCGGCTCATCAGCTTCAAGAAAAATTAATTCTTCCGTGAAATTGATATACTATCTACTGATTTGTTAACTTGAAAAAAAAGCAGAGAACATGTATAAAAAATATTCTCGACTGACCGATGTCGCAGACGAGAGCACCCGGTTCGAGTTCCTGAAGAAACTGATATACTCGTGGCCAGTGTTTACTTTGCGTGGTCTTCTCGGCACATTGCTCGTATACTTCGTGGACGTAGGCTTGCTCTAGGGCCACCGAGCGAGCTGCATGCTCTCCGTCGCTCTCAGACATCCCTCTCGCTAAGGTGATTCACTCTCGTCCACATGTGCGCTCACACGATGCTGCACAGAAATGTTTACCACCCTAAATCGAAAGATTCAAATCGATACGTCAGCTTCCAGGGTCAATCAAAGAAAAATCATTTTTAAATCGAATAATTTTTAGAGAGAGAGAGAGAGAGAGAGAGAGAGAGAGGATTTCGAGATATTTACGAAGATATATGGATTTTTTAAATAGCCTGTTGCGTGAAGAGCAAACTCGACTTTCACGTGTCCTACATCACTTGACACATCGGCCTTTGTTCACAGACCGATCTCGCAGGGCGGCAGACAGCCGCAATAGAACAACTCCTGCAACAGTTTGAGTATCAGCTTCTCGGGGCTCGTCTTCTCCGCGTTCTCCGTTTTCTTTTTCTTCGCGCGATCCGTGCAATAGCGCAAACGGGGCACCGTGTAAACGCGACACCATCTCAGGAAGTCCCCAGTGTCCTCCGTCCGGATGAACGTCACGATCGCCCAGAGGGTGCAGAGGTTCCGCGACTTCTTCTTCGTCTGCAGATAGAGTTGGCAAACATCCAGAAAGGTCATGAGCTCGACGACGCTCCTTGCCATTTGGAGAACGCTTCGAAAGGGGGTTCACCAGGACGTTCTCACGAGGAAAACCCCGGAAGACACAACCGGTTCGGTTTGGTTCTTGAAAAGAGACTCGAGGGCGACCGATCTGCTTGAGGTGGATCCCTCGGGCGAGCGTCACCGAGCGGGAGATCCGCCTGATGTTCTCCACTCGCGCCGCCGCCACCCTCGCATTGTGCGCTGCGGCGAACGCCACGGGGAGGCAAGTGGACCGAGTTTCAAAGAGTAGCCGTACCCTTTCTCCCTCTTCCACGAGCCTCCCCAACCCCGCATTCCGTCGTGTATAGTTTCTCCTACCGCGTGCGCGCGAAAAGGGCCGCGAGCATACCTGCTTGTATGCGTCGTCAGGTTCTGTCTCGCGGCTCCGATAGCGCCTATACACGCGCGGCTGCGCAGTAAATTTATTCGATATCCCCCTTTTCGCGTGTGTGTTGTAACTATAACTAACTGGGTTAGCCTCTGTCTTTCTCTCTCTCTCTCTCTTGCGCGCGCGATGCACTAGTTTAACTAATTTAAGGATGCCACGAGAGATGCCTCGTGCGCGACGGCTAATGTCAACCGTCGTCATTCAACGCAAACGAACGGATGGACGGATGGATGGATGGATGGATGGATGGACGGACGGGCGGATGCACGTCGACGTAATATTGACGTGCGCACACCGAAAGATGCAGCGGTGCAGTGGTTGATGATGATGCACGAAATGCAACTATGAGATCTCTAATAAGAATTTCTCTAGGAAGCTCCTTCTCTCTTTCAAGCAAGGAAAGAGTGTCAACTTTAGGTTTTTTCCCTTCAGCTAAACTAGCTGCACTAGTTCAGAGCCTATCCTAATACACATGTCCCGAAGATGTTCAGAGAACATCCTGAGGGTGTCCTCTGGATATCCTTTGGATATTCGCCGAATATCTTTTGGATATGTTGTGCTATTAGGGTATTTTTTTATTCCACTTTGGGAGGAAAGAAGTAAACTAGTGCAACCAGTTCAACTATAAAAAATAGACCTAAAAGTTTGTACTTTAAGTCTGTTCTCTTCAGCTGCGCTAGTTCAGAGCCTATCTTTTACTCCACTTTGGGAGGAAAGAAATAAACTACTGCAGCCAGTTCAACTATAAAGAATAGACCTAAAAGTATCATCTTTAGATTTGTTCTCTTCAGCTAAAATTGACATAAACTTTTAGGTTTGTTTCTTTATAACTGGTTGCACTAGTTCAGAGTCTATCCTTATGACTCCACATTTTTTTAGGAAGGAAAGAAAATTAGTGTAACCGATTCAGCTATAAAAAAAACAGACCTATTATTAGAGAGATCTTTAGGTTACTGAAATATCTTTTTTTTTATTTTTTAGTTCAGTCTTTGAAAATCAGATTTTGAAACCTTCGCGCTTAAAAACAACATAGTGAAAATGTAATATACACTACCGTATCTATTGCATCATATCGTTATGCTTTTCAGTCGATTGAATTATCGTCAGGCTATTATGCGCCTATGTCGAGGACGAAGAGATATATCGTTCTATATATGTTACTAATGACAACGATTTATAAATAGAATGCGAAAAGTATCCCACGCGAAGGTTTACGTCACGGAACATCGCTTGTCTGTTCGGAACAAGTGAAACGTCAACTGATCAAGGCTCTTTGACGTAGATTAGCGACTTAAAACTAACTTTTTCATCAGTTAAAAAACAAAAAAGAACAAAAGAGGACAGGGATTTCCATTTAATGTACAAATTTAAAACCCAAGATGTCACGATGCGCCCCAAGTCGGACCTGCAGAAGAGGCTCCTCATCCCCGCGTTCTTTCACGACGCGGCGAGAAACGGAGAACCACTGTCAGCCACGACTGTATACTACTACGTAACGGGTGAGTTGTAAGTGTGTGCGCTGCTCCCGACGGCGTGGGTGGTACGTGGAGCAACGGCAATGTGCCAACCCGATGTGAGAGAGAGAGAGGCAGCCATGAATGAAAGTGCCGCGTATCGATTTATCTGCGCCGCCCTACATACGAAATATGATAAATAGAGAGCGCGCTTATATATGCCGATTCGCGATGACATTTTAATCGGTTCAATCCGTACCTTCCGTTCTCTTCCCGTCCTTTCGATTTTAATTAACCCCGATTGCGAGCCTTTATTATGCGAGGCAAAGCATTATCCTCTAAGGTGTTTGATGTAATATTCTAATAACGATGTTGAATCAGGATTACTCGATACGGAATACAATGGTGGGAAAAAGTAGAGTTCATGATTCAGAACACTAAGTAAGTAGGTGATGGAATTAATTGTGAGAATCAGGTAGAATTGCAAAAGAAATAGATGAAGAAATTGACGTCATACACAACAATTATATAATGTGCACTCTATCAAATCCGTGAATTAAACCTACAATCAGACGATTCTGTGCCAAATTTCTAAACCCAAATTTAGGACATTATGTAACCTGCTACTGATGCGGAAAATACTGATCCTTTTCAAAGATACGCGAATTGCGGGATTCGCTGAGCCGTGGGATGAAAAAATTGCAACAAATCCGACCTGGAATTTCGCGATCCGCAAATAACCGCGAATTATCGACTCTCTGTGTAAGACGGCAGTAAACGCGTCACCGTTCAAAACGATTCTCGATGTGGCGCCATTATTCATTCATGCGAGCTGCCTCTACATCAATGACTGGGCCGAGAGAGCGAGAGAGAAGGAGAGACGTTCGAGTTATCACGCTCGTCGAAGCTCGAACGATGCGGAAGAGAAACCTCGGGGACGCGAAAGGACCTGGAGGATCAGCTTCGCCCGAAAACGGCGAACAACCGGATGCTCCGAGTCATCAGCGATCAAAAAAACGAATCCCACTAATCGATCAATATCGTCCAAAAAAGAGAACCACTTCTCTCTTATCTCTTCAATAATCTAAACAATCACTCCAAGAGACGCGATTTGATTCGGGGCCGGCGACGGCCGCCATATCGGCGCGGATTCGTCCAGCTCGCAGGAGACAGACGCAAGAACACCCATCAGGATTCGGAACCACCAGGTCTACGTCTATCTTGTCTATCTAGGTCTACGAAGGGAAGAAGAAACTTCAGGGGATCGTTGGAGACTCACCTGGGTCATGAGAGCCGCGGAATCTTCATGCTGGCTTCGAGAGGGTGCAGCAGCGCGTTGACAGCTACGGCGGAAGCGGAAGCGAAGGCGGAGACGTCGAATGCTGGTGCTGGTCGCGCGGAATCAGCGTCGCGCGAATGTTTGCGTCTCATCGCGAAGGATTATTTTCCCCTTCACATTTCTTCCTGCGTCCACTTCTTCTTCTTCTTCTTCCTCTTTCTCTTCACCCTTTCTTCTCTCTTTCGCCACCCTCTCGACTCCCCCGGAACCTTCTTTCCGCCTCTGTCTCTCGCTCTCGAGGGGTGAACTCGCGTGACGAAAGGGTGTGTTACGCGCGCACAACGCGGCGGAGGCGCGTTTCGTGCTCGAGGAATCGAGCTGACCGACCGACCTTCTGACAATGGCTGCGACTTCTCTGGGGGTTGAAGGGAGCACGCGCGAGAGAGGCGACGCGACGCGACGCGACGCGACGCGGGCGTCGCTGTGACGCATTACCAGCAGTCCGCGAAGGGGGAGAGACGGGGAGAGTGGGTGTACGGGGGTATACAGGATGTCTCATTTCCCTAACAGCACACATATCCCGAAGAACGATGTTTCGGAGAACATCCGGAGAATGTTCTCTGGATATCCTGGGATGTTCTCTCCGTTCAAACAAAATTAATTTTTATTCTATCTAAAACAACAAGATAAATATACGTACTTTTATCTTATCTTTATCTATAGCCAATTTTTAAACTTTATATATATATATATATATATATATGTTACTCGAAATTCTATATAATAGCACAACATATCCTATGAATATTTTTAGATAAAACTTTTTTCCTATATCCTATGAATATTTTTAGATAAAAATTGATTTTGTTTGGACCGAGATATACTTGTATACAGGATGTTTCATATACATATATAGCCGGTATTTTGTGCTTAGATGATTTCAGAAAAGATGAGATAAAAACAGTGTTGGATGATTTTAAAATTTGTTAGCTAAAAAGTATGTAAATTTATCTTAGAGAGGATAAAGATGATTTTGTTTCAAATATATCTAGATGAAAAATAAAATTATATAGCGATTCATCTAACTTCCAGATAATATTATTTTTAAACCCGCTTATGTAAACACTTGTGTTATAAAAAAATGTAAATTATAAAGGGGATATAAAAATATATTCGTACTTTTATTTATAAGTTTTTATCGCTTACCACTCTCAAATTATCTGAACATTATTACAGATAATTGAGTAAAGATAACACTTTAATCTAAGGTGTAAATATAAAAAATATATGTTTTTATTTCCTATATAAAGATAAGATGACGCCAAAATTATCTAGATGATCATCTATATAATTTTATTTAGATAACAGCAAACACATAGTTTTGAAGCTGTATATTATATTGATCTCGCAAAATAGAAAATAATTTGAAGAACGTAATCTGATGTCAAAGATGGTCTTTATATGGTCAACTCAGTTCATGGTTTTCTCTATATACTTTTGAATATATCAATAGAACACACACGTGTATAGTATTAATAGTATATGATGTATACATATATATATATATATATACAGAGATTCTTATATAAAATGTGATGCTCAAAAGAAGGTTCATCAACCGGGATATAAAAATTTATTCCATTCTCAAATTATCTCTTTCTTTAATCTTTTCAAGCATTTCACTGGACTTTCATTGTTGACATACTTTTTCTAGACATTCTGCTTCGAGTCATTTAAAATAATAGGTTGTTTTATTGTAGTAAACTTCATTTTTTTGAATTACTCACAGAAAATAATCCAATGGTCTCCTCGAAAAAAATAGTCCAATTTCCATCGGTAGAAACTCGACACGAGTTCAATCAGATTGGAAAACTTTTCATTTAATGCTCCTCAAAGTTATACGATAATAAGTTGAAATCACCTTCTGTGTTGCAGTTTCTATAGAAGCAATAAAAATTGATTATTGATAAAATCATATTCAGAGTACGTCATCAAAAAAATATAGACCGATAATGTTAATGACACCTTAAAGGATCATCGAAATGATGTTGATTTCGAATGAAAAACAATGTAATTAATTATTCACTTATCCTCTTCTTTGTAAAATTTTCGACAAAAATCAAACGCAAAAAATATAGATATAAAATATATATATAAACAAGAATTAATATGAAAAAATCTTAGCTTTGTAAGTTTGATAATGATCGATTGACATTTCTAGACAATTTGCACCCAGTTCAAAATGATGAATGACGAATGACAGTATATCGGAATATCGTTTTTCTTCTGTAATTTCTATATTACTCTTGAAATATTAAAATTATGTCAACAATGTTTTAAAGTGTCATCTGTCACTTGTCTAAAATTTTTATAAGACTGAACTGTGCCAAATTTATTCGTCCGATAAGAAAATTTCAAGTGAAAAATCTTGATCATACAAAAGCGTCCTATAAAATATTGTCTATTTACAAACATCCATATATGAGTGTAATAAGATGTTAAAAATTACAAATATACTTTTTTACAGTAAGAAGAGCGGCATCGACATATTTTGATGTATTAAAAAGTATATACTTATATATAACTCTCTATATTAAACTACAGGGTTTGTCCGGAAAGTAATGCGTCGCATTTTTTTGTGACGCGACTATACATCGCAGAGCGATGGGACCGGTTGGGGAGGAAGGGGGGTACCCTTAGCTTTCCAACGGTAGGTCGTTCAATTGTTTCCATGCGCTTGGAGGGTTAGGACGGCTTATTCTGTGAACCTCTGCTTAGTGGTCGCGTCGAACTTGTGATGGAGAGAACGATAGAGCAACGCTATGCGATAAAGTTTTGCGTGAAGCTGGACAAGACGCCGCTGGAAACTTTTGAAATGCTCAAGAAAGTTTGGCCCCGGCGGACTTTTTTTTATTTCCTCGGCTGAAAAGGGAGCTCAAAGGACAACAGCTCGAGTCGGTTGACAACGTACAAGCTACTTCGACGGCCTCCCTGAACAGCATCCCAGTCAAGGAGTTCCAGAAATCTTATGACGCATGGAAATCGCGTTGGCAAAAATGTATTGACGCAGAAGGGTCATACTTCGAACAATTTTAAGTTGTTTTACCTATGCGATCAATAAATTCTTTTTTAAAAAAATGCGACGCATTACTTCCGGACAAACCCTGTATATAACTTATATATAACTCTATTTAAAAAAATGACCTTATCTATAAAAAAAAATATTGGCATTAAATTATGTCCCTCTCCTCATGTAATTTTCGTCTGAAATATCTTTCGACATCAACAGTTTCAAAATGTATTTGAAATGGAACACTGTATATATTTCTCATGTCAATTGCGAGTAGATAGTGAGTGTGGGTAGCTGGATATATATAAATGTACGAGAAATGTGTGCTTTGACATCTATAGCGAATTTATAATAGCCTCCGTAGAGTGACTCCGCGATACATTTGTGATATCCCTTCGCGTCCTCGTGACGCATTACGAACGTCAGAGGGAAGATTAGAAACAGCGAATGTAAAGAGATACGTTTCGCGCTGGCACGTGTGGCAATTTATACAGGATATTTGATTCGATATTACTTGTTTAAAAACTGAATTTTTCTAAAAAAAAAAATATCAACGATATTAAAAACATCAATCAATAATTTTTACGAATTAAATTTTACGAGAGAAATTCTTTTGATTGGTAAAAGCGTTCGTCAGCAAGCAGTCTATATAAAGTGTGTTTACATGTATGCAAATGTATGTGTACACATGCGGATTGAGATACTCTGTAATATTCTTATGCATCGTCATGTCGCGTTGAAATCCTAAAAACGCTTGAAAGAGAATTAACATAAAGTGGATGCAAAATAATGCAGATAAAATGTCACTTTAAATATATATAAATGATTGAATAAAGTTTATAAAATTCTTTATTTCTCCTAGCCTTTCTTATAATATGTTAATATAGAACGTAGAACTTACATATATATTTATGTATAAAACGCCGATGAAAATTCGATAATACTTTAAACTTACGATCATTTAAAGGAATTTTGCCTAACTTTAAAGATCTGATTTAAGGGCGAGTACGGCGAATAGCGAAACGCATCGTCTATGTTCAAGTTGCATCGCAGAATTACTACACCCGACGGGTTCACTTTGACCTTGATCTTGGTCTGTGGTGTCAGTATGCCGTAATCTACGTCTTCGTACAAATCCTGAAAGATACAACGAGCGTTGATGAACCGAGAGTTCTTCTTATCAAATCTCGTACACTTTTTCCCAAATTAAATCATTGCGCTACGAACCTCCACTCGGTATCCTCCAAGATACTGCAGACCCAATTCCTTCAACGTGACCGATACGTCCGATGGCGTACCGTCAGTTCGCCTGTTGATAAACGCGATCGCGTACGAGTAGTAGTTTTGGTAAACCGGAGTGATGGGCCTCGCCCAAATTTCAATGCCCTTGTGCTGCAATCAATGGATTACACTATTGTATTTCGCTGTGATTTAATAATTAAATGCCACTAATATATGCCGGAATCGACCTGGATCTCACGTTTCAACTGACTTATCGCACTTATATATATTTATAAACACTGATTAATTTTTTGTTACATCACTCACTTTGTATATCCTTCGACCTTGAATACCCAGCGGATCTTGATCCACAGCGATGATCTTCTTGTTTTGCAAAATGGCTTTGTACTCTGGCCTGATCGTCCTGAGATCAACGGACATGAGCAACGGAGCTGCTAGTATAGCCCAGATCGCCATTTGCGTCTTGCTCTGCTCGTAGCTTAGCCCAAAGTTACCGATGATTAACATGTCCGGGTCGTTCCAATGTCCTGGGCCGGCAATGGGCACAATCACGTCTTGATTGTTGCCGTAGTAATCGATGATACTCTCCACGCTGGCCCACGAGTCCTGGATGTCATCAAAGTTGCGCCAGAGATTGCAGTTCTCCGCGATCGCGGTGTAATTTGGCTGAAAATAAGACAAATGTGAAAATAATCTGCAGGAACTGAATCAAATAAAAAAGATGTATCATTCCTTACCTGCATACCAGCATAGATTTGATAGACGGGCCAGCTGCAGGAATATATCATGTGCTTTCCAGTTTGATTTAAATGGAATCCAAACTCGGGATAGCCTTTGTTGAATGTCATATAATTTTAATACTAATTTATTCAGTTAAGAGAGAAAACTCATTGGTTATTTATAAGATATGATTGTACCTCTGTCCATATCGGTGGGATGTGAATAGCATCCGTCCAGTTTCACATAATCTACATCCCAGGATCCAAATGTAGCGGCGTCTATATCCAAGTAGCCCAATATACCTGGATAGCCAGCGCAAGTGTAGTTACCGTAATCTTCATAGATGCCAAACTTGAGGCCCTTTGAATGTACCTGACAAAACAAAGATATTCCTTTTTCACAAAGTACTCCGGTGAATGATTTTGGCAAATAAACCCAGCAAGCTCATGCAAGAATAAAATAGAGATTTGATGTGAAGCAAAGCTTTTAGAACAATTAACACCAAATTACATAATCAGAAAGACTCTTCATGCCATATGGGAAGCGTTCTCTGTCCGGTACAAGCTGTCCATTTATGTCTCTCTCTTTCTCCAACCAACAATCATCCACATTAATGTACTCGTATCCCACTGCGGCATATCCCTCAGCCACCACTATATCTGTCATGGTCCGGAAGAGACGATCACTGCAAAAGCACAGTAAAAACCAATTACAAAGTATCCTCCAAGTTTACACCATAGACATCCCAGATTCATGCAGCGCATCCTTTCTCACCTTATACAATTATCAGGATCATTCTTGCAATCGGTGTTACACCTGAATCTCTCCCAGGCGAGCCATCCCATCGGAGGGCTCCTGGCCAGACCGTTTTCCAGGGCCGAGACCAGGAGGGCCGGCGACAGCAGGAGGCAGCAGCACAAGGTCCACAGGTTGCGCAGCAACATTCTGGAGGGCAGAGGGAATAAAAGCGCTGCTCTTTCAGGTGAACGACGGTGCGGGATGTCGCGGGAGACTACCAAATCGGCAGCATAGCCCGGAGATTTGCGTGACAAGTGGCTTTCCGCGACGGTGCGATATCATCTGGGGGAGAGAGAGTGTGGCCAGCTGGTGTGCGCGCGTGTGCTCGAGGCGGAGAGGAATTGACGCGAGGCGAATGCGACGAGACGCGCCTACCGTACTGATCTGATATAAGAGGAGGCAGGCTCGCTCGCTCGCTCGCTCGCCGCGAGTACTTTCACCCAATGCCCCATTTCATTTTTACGCGCGATCACCGCGTCGAGTCGAATGCCGCGCCTGCCTGGCCCCGTCCCGTCTGTCTCTCCCGCCGATTCGCCTTCGCCGATGGACGAGTGACGTCGTATCAGGGCTCCTGTCGGCTCGCCGCGCCGGTCGCGAGAGAATCGGAGGTTTCCCCGTCCCGTCCTAGAGCGCGAGGCTGCTCGCGTATGACATTTGCACGATCGAGATTAGGTTAAGTTAAGGCATCTGCACGCGAGATGACAGATGGGATGGGGTTAGATCGCTTCTCTCGACGAATGCGACTTGAAACTTGCGAGACTTTTTTTTATATTTCGCCTTTTCGAGGAAATACAAAATCATTCGCGACCGATCAGCTGATTTTGACAGATCACTTTCTCCCCCGCTCGATGACAGATGGGATGGGGTTAGATCGCGAGTCTCGATGATGCGACTTGAAATGTGACTTTTTTTTATATTTCGCTTTTTCGAGGAACAAAAAAATAATTCGCGAACGATCAGCTGATTTTGACAGGTCACTCTTTTGCCCGCTCGATTCGATTTTCTTTTATCGATCTCTGGTGCTTACGTGGAATAAGGCACTTGAATTTCGAGTTTAGATATATCTTATATCGATATATAATGTTTTGTGTGAAATTTATCTTTTTATTCGGAATATTTTTTTAGCAGTTTTTCGCTTTCGAAATTTAAATTAATTTATTCTCAAATCTCGTTTTGTGAGTTGTTTTCTTCGTAAAATTATTAAAATCTCTGTGAATAATATATTTAAATATATATACTTTGATTAAAAAATGAAAATTGTGAATTTTCTTAATGATTTTAAGAAATAAAATCGAAAATTATTCATATTTCTATTTTTTATAAATTTCTAATTTATTATATCTCATATAAGATCGAAACTCCAAAATTATGAATAAAAATTACATAAAGATATATAACATTGTTTTTTTAAAACCTATATATACCCAAAATGCGATATGCGTTAAACAAATAATTAAGATCGTTTACGATGAGTTTAGCGCGATATGTTTCAAGGCTTTCGCGTTATTTAAAGCACGTGTTTTAAAACGTTTAAATTGCGCAGTGAGAATTTGTTGAAAACTATAGTGAAAAAGAGAAAATCTGTAAATATAAAAACGTGCGAAAAATATAGGATCGATAACCTTGCGTTTTTACACATTGATCTTGTTGATGTTTTGATTTATACTACGGGGTTTATAGTTGACGTTTGAGCTCACGTTGCTAATAAAAATGAAAGCACACATCAAAACAGCTGGTGGAAGGGCGGAGACGTGACGGCGCGTTAAGAAAGCGAGAGGAAACTAAAGTGAGAGACAGAGATAGAGATAAAATGGCGAGATCGGCCGAGTGATACGGCGGAAGGAGAAAAAGAGACGACGACAGGCAATAATAATAATATTGTCAGTAAAGACCGCGACGTCACAAACTCAGTCATGTCACTATATAGCATGTCTCTTAGATTGCCGATTTCTTTCGCTTTTTTAAATTATATATAATAATTATGATTATATAATAATTGTATAATACTCTAATTATAACAATTATATAATCAAAGAATATAATTATTGTTATATAATAACTGTATAATAATAATTCAAATATATGATAAATAAAATGTAATAATTTTTATGTAATAAAATTTAGTTGAAATTATATAATTGTTACAATAATTATATTATTATATATAATGATTATTATTAAATTATTATTGTAAACATATCTCTTTCATTCTTTAAATTTATCTATCTATTTTTCTTTTTCATTTTTTTTTCTCTATCAATTCAGAATTTTAAAAATTTGCTCTTCCTTTGTGAATAAATACCAAAATTTATTTGCAAATTTAAAAAATTGAAAATAACAAAATAAAAATTAAATTTAACAAAGTTATGAAAGAATAAAAAAAAAAAAAATTTAATCCTGGAAAAAATTCTGCGGACGCCCATAATAGTGATATATTATTATGATTATTATAATGTGTCGTCGCGGAAACATTAACTTGTATGTCTCTCTATCTCGCTGCTTATATCTTTTTTATGTTTTCAGCTGACTATTTAATAAAATTATTTCCGCATAGGGCGGGAACATAAATGTATATGTTGCGAGTCGAGAAAGTAGAATAAAATAATAACGTAGATGCAAACCGGTTTTTGCAATTCTTATTTTACTCGTCGCTCTTTATGGATGCAAAAATAAAAAGAACGAATTATAATAAAGGAGAAAAATAAAGAATAAACGTACCTCGATTGAGCAAAAAAGAGGGACAACGTCGATTCGCTTTACATCGACACAGTAAAAAAATCACCGTGACACTCTTTTATTTATACATCTTCATCTATATGTATATTGATCGATCGATCGATCGATTTAGATCCGCTCGTAATATCTTAATCGATAAATTAAAAAGATTCCCAATTCGGATAAAATTAAAGTTCATTGCACGTGTTATATATTATTCGAATATCTTAATTGATAAATTAAAAAGATTCCCGATTCGGATAAAATTAAAGTTTATTTACATTATTCGAATATCTTAATCGATCAATTAAAAAGGTTCCCAATTCCAATAAAATTATAATTCATTGCACGTGTTATATATTATTTTGATACAATTCGACAATTTTCTGATTATTAAAAATTATTGTGTGTTATTAGACTGCAATAATATTATATAGCGAAAGAATGCCGAAGATAATTAAGGATTAATTAATCTCATTTACGTTCCTTGATTTTCTGGGACGCTGTGATGAAAGATTAGCATGGATTTTTTATCAAAAAATGAACAATGAACTTCGCGCATAATATAATTTTTCGATACAATAAATCATTTCTCTCTTCAGACTTGTAGATTGCGCGTATCAAGTGAAAGAATCTTAAAACTTTATATTTAAATCAATATTTGCATCTACTTGCTCTTGATAATCGGCGGTGCTGATACGGATTTAATATTGTATTTGTGATTTTTTCATATATATTTGTGTTTATATTTATCTGTTTTTTTTCTTCGTATAGCTGGATATCGTAATTGAAATTTATTTGTTATATCATAAACACGATCGTGATATAAGAAATAATAAATAACACAGATTTACATCTTGCCAAAATCTTATCAATCTGAATATATATATTTTATTAAAATATTTCATTTTTTATCTATTATATAAAATATATAAAATATTCCAGATAGCAAACGTACGTCATTTTGCGACGTCGAATGACATCAGTTTGCTACTTGGGATATATTATTAAAAACATTATATTATATTTTTTTTCTTAAAATATTTTTTTAAAATTTATTTATTAAAATATTTTATTAAAATTTTATATTCAGAACAAATAGCCGCGATATATGTAAACTACAACTTTTTTTCTAAAAAAAAATGTATCTAAATCTTACATCTCTTTGTAAAGAAAGACATAAAGGAGTGCATACACAGCTTATTCTCTCACCTTCCAATCTCCCTCTCTTCTTTTCATCTTAGAATGGAGAGTTTGATTTCTTGAAACGCCCGCGTTTCCCTCTCTTTCTCTCTTCTAATGACTCTATTCTTTCTCTCTCCATCTTAAGGAAAAGAACTGACAACAAAGACGATCGACCGTAATGATACCGAATTATGCCTGTCCTAATCGCATGAGAACTAGAACCGCATTAGAGCTAGAAATTAGAAAGAGAGCGCGCTGGGTCGAGGCCGATGAAATAATTCCTCAACATCGGGTTTGCATTCCAAACTATCGTAACCCTGGCACGATCCACATTTGACTTCTCTTGTAGTACCACGAGAGACGCGATTTGCCGATATCGCTTTTGTACCTCATATTTTCCTCAAAAAAAAAAAAAGAAAAAATTGTATAGCGGCACGAGAGATATCTGAGAATTTCTCGCCTTTTTCAACCTCGTTAAAAGAGAATCTCCTTTAGATCCTCCTAAAAAATGTGATGATAATGTCTAATAACAAAGTACCTTTTTTAGAAACTTCGCGCGTCTTATAATTCGCAGACAATAGAAATCGTATATCTGTATATGGTGAGAATTAAACGGTGCACGCAAGCGTGCGTATAATTTTATTACTCTCGCAACTTGAATCAAACGATATATATGTATATATATATAACTGTTATATAGCTACGCAATCGATCTTCTTATACATGTATTATACGAGAAAAAGTGACATACCTTTTTCCGTCACGCGTTGCGCGAGAATGTTATTTTATAATAACGCGTTTCTGTATATATACATGTGCCTTATATATATATATAGAAAGAGAGAGATAGCGACTCTCTTATAATTATATCTGTTCTATAAATACGTGCAAACATTCGTATATATACTTTCGAAAGTTTCAATTGTACAACATAACAATCGCGATTTTTTTCTCACTCTGTTATCGAGTCGACTCGATGACCTGATAGGTCTCTATCTCGACTCAAAGTTTACGTTTGGATTTTTTCACGATATGTTTTTCTCTCTAATTGCGTAAACAAATGCAACAACAAATTATCGAGCTACGTTTTTAATTAATTTTTTTATATATTAAATGTGTAAGTAAATTCTACGCTTAATTTATAGCTGATTCCAAGGGAAGGGATTTTCCTCCTATATGTTTATGATATATATATATATATATATATATATATACATATTTTACGAGTCGCGTGTTTTCGCAATGTTTCGGATAAGCAACATTAACATTGAAACACATTTTTCGGATATCAATAGAACGAAATCCCACGCATCGAAATGTATATATTCCGAGGCGGCTCAAATCTTGGCACAGTTTCAACGCGTTGCACGCAATTTGCATCTCTCATCGCGTCGCGTTTTATTTTTGAACTCATCTCCAGCACGATATCGCCCTCGCATCCTTAAATGGCGACTGTCGAAGAATGGAAGACAAAAATTTAATTATCCAAACAAAATTATTAGAAAATTAATTCGGTCAAAATTCAATTGATTTTTGAACATTTTCGATTTGTTTTCAATGAACGGAAACTAATTTTGATTTAGAATTTTTATATAGAAAACAAATCAATTTAATCAATTAAATTAAAACCTCAAATAGCGAAAAATGGCGGAAGAAAAATTAAATCATCTATAACAAAAAAGTAACTTGATTAAAATGTAATTGACTTGATTAAAATTCTGGAAAAGGGAAGGAAATCTCTATTTATCTCCGATGGATAAAACTAATAATAATTTTATTTGGAATCCTTTAGAGAACAATCAAAACGCGCATCTGTCATTGATCAATTAAATAACAATTCGAGTGCTTTGAAACTACACATATCTGTCATCGACATTGTACATTTTTCGAGACATGAAAACATCAAAGATTTGATTTGATTTAACGAGATAGTACATATCTCATTTAATTATAAAAATTCATTTATCATATTGTACGAGTATTATCTTTATCTGCTAAGAGACGCACTCCTTTTCTCTCTCTTTCTACCTTTCTATCTTTCGATTAACTAAGATATAGGCCTTATTATGAGATGACACGTTTGCTATCTTGATGATACAGTGGCTATTTTACGAAGTAAAATGAAAAGGCGGATCAGTAAATCTGGTAGCTACCTATCATTTAATTACAAAAGTAAAATAAAATATATATATTACGCATATTTATGTACATACACATATAGAAAAGTGTGCGATTTTTAGCTCTAAAACGTGGAAGAGAAGATGTGTATATAGTAAAAGCAACTGCGCCGAGAATTTTTAATTTACTTTCCGAGAAGAATTTTACGGGTAGCACCGATGCTTTGGCCGGCTTGAGTCGCGCCCTTATTGGAACCAGCTTGAAGTCCGATCACCGACTCGCCAGCCCTCAATTGTTCCTCCGTAAACTCACGTTTGCACTCATCCGCGGGTTTCGGTCCCAGATAGGGTCCTTGCCATTCGGGATGCTTGTACGTCTGAAGCGAACGAAAACGGTCCATTAAAATTTCTTATAAAATTGGAATTAGTACAATAAAATTGACAAAAATCATGGAACCCTACCGTTCGGCCAAGAGCGAACAGGGTCGTCACCACTTGCGCGATGTCCTTCTTTTCCCACAGGTCCACAGTTTGGAAAACGTCCACGTCATCCACCCCATAATCCTTGAGAGCCTTTTGGAACCTGGACAGCGCAACGATATTGTTGGTCGCCTCTTTAAAAAATACAGACAATCGCCGAGTGTTACTCACAGATTGATATTCTCCATCATCTTGAATTGTCCGCCGGTGGTATTGATCTTCGGTACCGATCCAGGGGAGATTTTGTTCATCAAGTGGCAGAGGACCTGGCCGTCCTTCAGCACCTCCTCGAAGGTCTCACCGGGGGGAAACTTCTTGCCAATGATCGACTCGATCCATTCCTGCGCCTCCTTCTCTTGCTCCGGATTGCGTTTTGATGCAATCTGCGTGCAAAGATATGGTACTTTTTTAAATCTTTATATAACAATTAAATTGGAAAATTCACAATATTTATAGGGCAAAAAAGGAGCTAAGGCTACGCGAAAGTCTTGGAAAATCTTCTCCTTGGAATCTCCTTGGAAAAAATTAGGAGAATTCTACGGGGATCCTAGAACGTTCCGGACTTCTACACCTTTTAAGTACGTTTCATATAGAAATTTATAAATTATTTGAATTTTGTCGGATTACTTTTTGCCCAAAGGGTCACTAGTGATATAATACGGGTGAAGGAATATTTGACACCACTCGCGATCGAAATATATGCATATGTATATGTACCTTAGCGCGCACTTGACGTTCTAGAGCCATGCTTACGATATTTTTGAAAAGACTGAAGTGCCGGGGCCCTCTTAGCCGCGGGCTTTTTATACCTTCGGCGTGAACCACGCAACCACCGTGGCTAAGTCGGGGGAGAAATCCGTCCAACAACGTAAGAGGGTTGTCTATAGTGTGATCCTAAGATACTCCATGAGGAGGTCCAGGTTTGCGTCGGCATAAAGACGCGCTGGAGAAAATATCTCTTCTCGTTTCTTAAATGTGCTTTAGAATCTTCGTTCGTCCATTTCTTTACTTGCTCGTTCGTCCATAAATGTGACACCTAAAATATTTTTCTTTGTGTTAGATATGACTTTCGAGACACCCGATATAAGCGAGCGTGATTCCACTTCGTTTCGAGATTCTAATATTAGCGGCTTATTCAGATAAACGAGAAATAGGTTTTCCGAAAATCGCAGAGAGACGCAGCTGCTGTGAAAATTGGACAGCTTATTGTTAGTAATGATTACAGCATTTCTGGTAAATAAGCCGAAACAACATTCGCGCGAGTGTTTTGTCGCGAGTTGGTCGCCATCCCTTTTATTATACCGAGCCAATGTACAAAAGTAATAATTATTAAAATACACTCTGCTGTGTGAGCGTGATTTTCAATATTACTTATTTAAGAAATGCGCACATCCTGGAAGAATTTGATTTTTTTATTATTAAATCTCTTAATCAGTCACATAGAGATGTAAAAAAAAAACAGTTTAAAAAATCAATTATTTTCAATACAAAAAAATTCTATTTTATTTTCTTATAATTTTTTAAAATATAATATTATTTTTCTTTATATTTTTAATTTTTTTCGAAAATAATTTTCAGTAATAAAAATATATATAAAGATATCTGGAAAACATTTTTTTTCTATTTACATTTGTTTACAGCCACAATAATGTATATACTTGATAAAACAGTTTAACATGAAACTTTTTTTACTTTTCCTAACACAATAAAATACTGTATATATTTTTAGTATAAATTGTGAAACAAATAACATAAAGGAATAAAATAATTGGAGAAAATAGATGTTTTTATTACATGCGTCATTGTATAAAGCCGATCTCGAATGGATTTTTAATAAGAGACAGAAATGTTGGATCAAGGATCGTCAGGATATGTTCGAACAAAACGGCATTGTCAATCTGTTGATTACAATGGGTATACATACCAACACATAAAACGTAGTTTGTGTAGCGAGTATAGTCAATGTGTCGAGGTCCTGATGTCAGAAAGAAAAAATACGGCTGCCCTCATGGAAAGTGGGACGTGCTACTTTTAAATAGTCCTCTGTCATATGGCTCGGGTTATTATTGCGCGATCCAGATTCACGGCAGATGCCACGTGCGAGATGAAGCAGAAGACGGAGAAAATTATGGACATTCTCCTTCCTCCCTGAAAATACAAAGATCTAATCACTATATAATTTAAACAACACACTGAAGGATATTAGAAAAGTAGAAGTTTAGAGAAAAGCTATATAGAATATATAGAGAAAAAATATACTTTTTTTATTATAAGATCTAGCTAATATATTTTATAGATCAATTATATAAATAAAAAAAACTGTAATTAATACATGTAAATAATACATAAAAATGATACATCATTTTCGAAAATAGTAAAGTAGGATATTTAATGTAGACTGAGAACTTCGATATATCTATAACAAAAACAAAAAAGAAAATGGCGAAGTCTTTCATCGGCAATGACAAGATTCGCGTAATTCCACCAGGTTTCGTAATTCGAGTCGATTCAAAGAGGATCATTTATTGGCTGGATCGCGGTCCGATGAGTCACGTTTAAAATTAAAGTTCTGCGCGCTTCCAACCGTGGCTACAATCTCGTCTTTTTGTGTCGATGATGCGTGGGCGTTTTTTAAGAGGGCGATGATGATTTTCCTCCCTGTATCCGCGATGTTACCCCAAATGCGGTTGCTTGCTCATCCGATATCAATTTTGCACCGAATGTACCAGTCTACATTAAATATCTAAACTCTGACTCAGAATTTGCCGGTGACAATTTACAGACATACATACATACATACATACATACAGACATACATACATACATACATACAGACAGACAGACATACAGACAGACAGACATACATACATACAGACAGACAGACAGACATACAGACAGACAGACAGACAGACAGACAGACAGACAGACAGACAGACAGACAGACAGACATACAGACAGACAGACAGACAGACAGACATACAGACAGACATACAGACATACAGACAGACATACATACAGACAGACAGACAGACAGACAGACAGACAGACAGACAGACAGACATACAGACAGACAGACAGACAGACAGACAGACATACATACATACAGACAGACAGACAGACAGACAGACAGACAGACAGACAGACAGACAGACAGACAGACAGACAGACAGACAGACACATACACAGACATACAGACAGACAGACAGACATACAGACAGACATACATACAGACAGACATACAGACAGACAGACAGACAGA